GTTGCTCCTGTAATCTCAAGGAAGATATCTGGCTTTGCTTCAGAAGTGAGGAGTTATGTGTTCAGAGTGTAAGATAATTGTGATTTTTTTTTTTCAAGATGAGACCAAAGATGAGTCACCTTTAAGGACCTACTTGGAGGTACTCCAGGGTCCAGAACATCAGAAGTTAAGGGGCTCCCAGAATTGGTCAATATTTGAACATTGCTTCTTAGGAATGTTCAAGTCTTGAACACGAAATCTTGAATCCTGCAAAAATGGTAGGAAACCTGCATGGATGAGTGAGGAGTTCATGGATAAATTCAAAGTGAAGAAGAAAGTTATGAAATGTAGAAAAACAGCCTGGCCACTTGGAAAGAGTAGAGGAATACTGTCAGTGTCCTGGAAGGCAACAAGGAAGGTTAAGGCCCACTTAAAATTAAATTTGGTGAGGGAGGTGAAGGATAACAAAAAGATGTTTGTCTGTCAACAGCAAAAGGAAGATTAGGGAAAATGTGGCTCTGCTGCTTAATGAGGTGGTTGCCCAAGCTCCACCCCTTCTGGTCACAAGTGAATTGCCTTCACCTGTGTTCTCACAGCTGATAGGGTCCTTTCACCAGATGCTCCATCAGTTGTTCAGGCCATGACTCAACACCTTCACTATGTGAACCAATTGATTGAGCTGGTTGAAGGGTGAGCCTTTCCTAATGTAAAGATCCAATGCACCATGATGCTTGTACAACTAACTGTTCTGATGCAGGTTGACATAATATGATTGGTTGATTAATGGTTGAAGGTTGTGTTCTTTCACGGTCCAGTGCTTGATGATGCTACTGGAGGCATGCTGTTGTTTGTGCAGGTTCATCTTACATTCCATTAGGTCCCACATAGGCCATCACTGAGTGCACTGCTTGATCTCACAGTGACACTGGAATGTTTCAATGATGTTTTATTCGTTCTGGTGATCCTAGAGAGTCAAACTCATGGGGAGTAGTACAAATGTTTCAGGGGTACCAGGAGGGGAAGGTCTGCCCTCCAGAGCTAGATACAGGCTGTATTCCCATCCTGGTATCACAACCTCTGGCTAGAAATGGTTATGCAACTGCAGATATCAGGCACCAAAGGGGAACTCCTGATCTGCTATAGGGACATGATGAGGGTCCCCTTAGCAATGAAGACCAGAGTGTTGGCCACAATGTCAGTAGGCCATGCATAAATTACTAGAAGGACCATCAAGCCTCCCACCTCCAGTAATCTCCCCTGAGGTGCAAGTAGGCCATATCACTTTGGTCCTACCTGCACCTTTCAAGGCCACTTTATTCTATGGGTACCTGGTTCTAGATTCTCAGGAGCAGGGAGCAGATAGTTATTTTCATTGCCAATTTGGGGTCTTAACTGATAATCAGTGCCTGTAATTTGGCTCCTAAGCAAGAAGGCCCTTGTTTGTAGCATTTTCAGGGCATTGGGTCTGCCATCTCTGAGTCTGGGATCTCAACCAGTCTATTAATACTAGTTTTCATCCTGGTGTTAATGGCAGAGTATAATCTTAAGGGCAGGATGCAAGGTAATGGACCAGAAATTTCTAAGTTGGTGTCCATTAACCATGACACCTTCTGTCCTATAACCTTAAAATCCAGGCTGGTATACTTTCTCCAGGCTTCTGTCAAAACTGTTGAACTAAATCCATTAATTCAGTTGCTGTATAGGGATAAGCTGTTACATGCAAATGAGCTTGGGCAGGGTGCCATTGACCAGGGAGCACCCCTGCTGGTCTATCTTGTATTTTTTTGTTGTTGTTTTCTGAGTTGTTATAGGGCAGATCTAGAAGGGATCCATCTTAAATGGAGCTTCAACATGGAAGCTTTGTTTTCTGAATCATCCAGGTCCATTGATTTAGGAGTCTGGGTATCTTCTAATGTAGATAATGTTCTGTTTTATTGGGAAAGTCAAACTTGATTTCTTTCCTGTTAATGTGCCAAATTGTTGTTCTAATTTCTCAGTACAATCTCATAGTAGTTAATACTCATTTTCTGAAGTATTGTTTTATATTTTTGTTTGATTTAAAGCATTTAATAATAGCCATGCCATGGTAGATGCAGCTAAATAGAATTCTATGTAATTAAGATCTTTATCTAATCCTTGAAAATAATCTGCCATGCAGGATGGAGAGGAAATAATTCCAGTAGCCCCCAGGGGACCCCATTTCTCAACTGTAACCACAAGTTCATAGTAGGATGATCCCAGAAATCCTGGGATATGTCCAGTGACCCTCTTATCTAGAGGGATAGTGTTCTCCCCCTTGACACATTTTAAAAATATACCGAAGAAAGGATATTTTAGTATTTTTAGTTTAGCTGGCTTGCCAAATGTTACAATCGAAAGATTAATGTGGTGGAAGGACAATACAAGAATGCAAAAGCAAAGGGACCAGCACAGATAGGATGATATTTCACAGTAAAAGTAAGTGTTCACCTATCTTTAAAGATCTAGGCTTGCAGGAAATACTCCACAAGGGAGGGATCTCCAACCAGAGATCTTTTCCCAGTGATGGTTAGCCCTTAAATAGGGTCTAAGAGAGGTGGAGCCAGGCTCCACCCCTTCCAGTCACACAGGTAAGTTGCCTTCATCTGTGCTCCAGGTCTGCATCTATATATAACCAATTAAGGGCACTGACAGATATATCTGCCTGGTACCTATGTGTTCCAGGGGGAATAACTAATTTAACAGAGAACTGTATGCTTAGACTGGTTTTCTTCTCAGTGCTATATGTGTGTCATGGCCAACCCTTTATGTGGAAGAAGCTTTCCCTGTGACCAGGGAAGGTTGAGTGGCAGGGAATATGGAAAGGTTCAGGAAAATCTCAGATGGGTGGGGACCCCTGATGCCACAGGATTTCACTCTTGAACACCTGTGGGATCTCAAGAAACTAAGTGAACATTTGAGTCAGGGATGGTGCGGCTTAGGTAGATCTGAGGAGATATGACTTATTTGGGGTTGACTCATGCTTACTGAACTCTATGTAATACTATTCTGGAGAGAGAGTGAGTTTCCAAGCTGAGGTTCAAATCAAAGGGGGAAGTCTCCAAGTCAAAACCTACTGATCACAGGAAGCACTGGTATCAATGTCAGTTTCCCTGTGGAAGGCCAGAAATGGGAGCAGGTGCTCTCATGTCTAGACTGAAAAGAAGTGAAGGAAGTAGAGGAAGATCCAGGTGAGGAGCCATACCCAAAACTGCTGTCATTGAAAAAACTAAGACACGGAGAGGAGAGTGAGGAGGAGGAAGTTGCTGTTGCCACTACTTGTTGACCCTTGAAGATGACTCAAATCCAAGGCTCAAAAAAGGGGTTTATATGGCACTCATACAAAACTATTTTCACCTGGTTGCTTTGGTGTTGGGGCAATGGGGCCAGTAACATGTTCCTTGATGGTAATGAAGCTCACCAACTGGGAAATATTGCCAGAGACTCAGCTATTGATAGAGGAATTAGTAGATGTCTGGATGGAGTTGCCATCCTCTGGGTTGGCAACACTCTAACGAGTGTTATTAGCCATGAAGAAAAGACATCCCTTCAGAGACTATCTGGAGCCTGAGATGAAAAAGTGGAATACTGTTGAAAAAGGTATCCAGTATTTGAGAGAAACATCTGTGGTGGAGTTATTGTATGATCCCATGTTTATTCCTAACAATCCACATCAAGACCATGATCCTGAGAGAGTTAGGAGTACACCTGATATATGGCAGAACTCACAAGAGCAGCACCAGAAGGGTATACCAGTACACTAGAAGTAACATTTGATAGATACGAGGAACAACAGAGAAGGCCCCCAGTTTAACTGATTTTTACACTTCAAAACTCTGAACAAAAATTACCTCCATTTCAGCCATCTCAAAAGTAACCAAGACTAGATAAAGTGGATAAGATAACTGATTAAAATGGAGAAGAAACAGGATGGAATGCTGGAGGAATTGTCTCTATTGATTAATTGTGATGAACCTGTGGCCGAGTCAGAAACACTTGATGAAGACCAAGATGATCATAAGAGTCTACTGGAGGAGATGATCAAACTGATTAAAACCTCAGCTATCAAAGGCAAATATCTTCCTGTTTGAGCAAATGAGTAGTAAATCTATGTTGTATGCTGCCTTGGCGAGTTACTTATGTGAACATGGAGAAGACATGAAGTGGTATTGAAAAAAAAAAACCTCACTCCTGCACTACGAGCACAATTAAATCACTCCAGTTACTGTAGGAAACCAATAGAGGGGCCCTCCCTCAGTCAGGGGTGGGGGAGGAGGTATAATACAGTGCATTGGACTGTGTGGATTCAATTGCCTGGCATGTCAGACCAATAGGAAATATAAGGTACTGGTGGGCATTGGTGTGCAGTGCACTCTGCCCTTGAGTAACAAAGGGACAGAATTGATTCATATTTGTGGAATGGCGCTCAAGAATCCTCTGTGCTAGAGGCAGACAGAAGCCTCACTGGTAAAGACTGGCAAAAGCACCCTATAGCAACTGGCCCAGGGGCTCAGTGCATATGTGGTATAGACAACCCTAGAAGGGAGCATTTCAAGGATCCCAAGGGGTATTGGTGGGCTTTTGGGATATCTGCTGTTGACACAGATGACATTAAGCAGCTGTCTGTCTTGCCTGGCCTGTCAGAAGATCTGTCTGTTGTGGGATTGCTACAAGTAAGTAAAATAAGAACTGTCATGCTTCTTAGGTTAGATACAATGGAAATACTTAAAATAATAATTAAAAAAAAAAAGTATTGATAAATTGATTTGCAGTTTGCCTAGATACTTTGGTTAAAGATTGTTTAATTTTTCCTGGGGGTCTACTATTGTGCAAATAAGAGGTCACTAGATGTGTGTGTACATTTTTTTTCTTCTCAAAGTCCATGCTTCAAATAGAGAAGAGATAACAGAGAAGCTGTTTGGATTCTCTGCTGCTTTAAAAGTGTGTGTATGGGAACTTCTGAATCATGGCCTGAACCTCTGATTAATCACCACAGGCAAGCACTGAGTCAGCTGCAGGAGCACAGGTGAAGGTAATTCAGCTGTGTGACCAGAAGGGGTAGAGCCTGGGTGCACTTCTCCTAGACCCCTTTTAAGGGCTGACTGCCACTGAGAAAGGATTTCTTCCTGGAGATGGCTCTCTTTGGAGTTTTCCTGAGAACCCAGGACACAGGTGAGCACTTTCATTTATTTTTGATTATCCCTTTCCATAGTGATAATCTTCCTAGCTCTACGCTCTGCAAATACCAGCCTAACCATTCTGTATATTTGCTGATGATATAATGTAGAAACAGGATCAGTCCTTATTAGATGTGACACTTTGTGCTCCATGTGTATGCAAGTAACTGTGTACATCTACTGCAATACACATTAGTGATCTGCTCATTAACATGTTCTTAACTCTTTTTTTTACTGATTTATTAATGCTGGTGTCTGAAATCTTAAGGCTCTTTGACCAACATGAAATTTTAGTTCAAGCGGTTGGATCATAGCAGATAAAATAATTCATTTACTGTGAATGTTGGTATTCAAAGAACATTAAATCCATAAATTAAATGAACAGGCCAAAATATACTCATAGATAGACTTCCTATACTGTTTTCCTGGTCTGCAGGTTTACAGTGTAACAGTAAATTATATTGGTGTATTAGGAGTGAGATTAAAAAAAAACAAAACCACCACACCTCAATAATTTAGAAAGAAATCATAGTGAAAATAATACAAATGTCTTTCTAATGAGGTGGAGGGAGAGAAGCCTTTTTGAGTGTCTCTGTGAATTAGGGGAGAGAGTATTTCCTAGCTTATTGCATGCTGAGCTGACTTCTATTCCTGTCACTGCCCTGCTGGGTAAATTGCCTGCTTGTTTTTTTTGTTCTGTGTCTTCATGTCCCAGTCTATTATATGAAGTTATGATATTTTTCCAGCAACATCATAAATCTCTAAATAATAGTAGTAGCATCTCACCAAACACAACTTACTTGACCACCAAATCCTAAGAGAGATTCCCAAAGAATGGGAGAAAAAGAAAAAAGTGTGGCAAAAATGAACAGGTGAACTTCAGATGAATTTCAGTCATTAGTTCTTGTCAAACACCATATCATTCTCTCTCTCTTTAGCAGATCAGGGATTTTTGCTTTTCAACTCTTGGTTTTGTGCTGGTAACAGAGCTAAGGTGCTTGTTTTAATAACTTTTTTTGAAGAAAATCAGAGCTTACCATTTATCTAAAGTGATTCTTTCTCTGTAGGGATACTTTCAGTTGAAATTACTTCAAGCTAGTTTGAACAAGACCCAGTACCTCAGGCAGAACATAAAATATAGATGTTCCATGTGTGCATTGTTATTAATATGAAATGTCCTCTACTTCTACCTAATACAGAGTAACATTTAATTACAGCTTCATAAGCAGGAGATGTAATTTAGTGAATACGAAAAATCATGCCTGGCCAGGTATGAGACAGAATTAGTAAGAAAAACACTAGCTTTTGTTCCAGTCCATGAAAGCTCAGGCAACTAGAAATAGCAAGTATTAAAGAGTTCCCCTGGGAATTTAGACTTCATCAAAATTACTGAAGCAAAACACCCCAATGTGAAGGGAATAAATGCAAGCATCTTATCTCCTCCATTTGTATTCCCACACCAGCTAAATATTAAACTTGAATAAACTGCATATATGATAGGTATAGGCAACAGTGCTGCATGTGGCTACTTATTTTTTTTTGCTCAGCTTAACCTAAGAATGTCTTTCCTGTTTTTGATTAAGGAACACAAGAAAAATTGCAGTTTTAAACTGCTTTGAGTAGCTTCTTTGTAAACATCAGAACACTGAGATGCAAATCTAAATCAGTTCCTGAATTAGCAAGTTCTGTGATCATGACAGCTTGAATGTAAAACCCTCATACCTTTTGAAGTATTAGACACCAAGATGTGTATTTGGAAAGCAGTTTACAGGACATGTATGCAACTAGTTGTATACTATGTTTATCTTAATCAGATAGTAAAAGTTGGACAAGAGGTGATAAGAGCAGTTGTCAACAGTTTATTGGCTGGTTTGACCCAGTTCTGTGACTAGCGGGGTGGAGGGATTTTGCAAAATCTGCACCTCTGGAAAAGGGAAATGGGACCTCAAAATAATTAAAAACAGTAGCAATGATCTGAGGAGAAACAAACTAATTTACTAAATATGGTATTAAAATGCAAGATGACACGCTATAATAAAATATAATTAGAATTGAAGCTAATCAAATATAATGAGAGTGTCTGAAAGGTGGGTAGGTCTCACCGTAATGCTGAGGTGAGATGCACAGTCCAGTTGAGCAGTAAGGAGGAGAGCCTGATGAAGAAGAGCACATCAGGTGACCTTGCCAGGGGTTATATCTACTCTCTGACCACAAAGTCCCTTGGGGTATGTAGTTCTTCTCTTCCAGACAGGTGCCCAGAACTGGAGCATTAACACTTTAACTCCCAGTGCACTAAATGATTTTATGATGTGAAATACTGATAACCAAAAATCATAAGACCATGACAGCTATTGATGCTGAGTTTTCTCTGGCAAAGCTTGTCCTTCATTGCAGCATTTAGTACTAATGTTTTTTATATATACTACTACTTCAAAACTTTGTTGTCAATAGCAACTTCTATTCTAAGGAACATTTGTTTGCAGCTTAAACTCTGTGACTTCAAATAGTATTGAAGATGCCATTTGCACTGAAAGGAGGAAGAAAATGTTTATTGCTGCTTCTTATTTTTCTGAGTTATGCTGGAAGAACTACTTTTGACTGCACTACAACACAGTTGGCTAGACTATAACTCAATTGACCAGACTGTACACAACTGTCTAGACAAAGCAAAAGCCAACACAAATTGTCATTTCAGTTTCTAACTCATTGCCTCTACTTTTCTCTTCCACGGTCTGTGTAACAAAGGTTTATTCCTGAGCTTCTAGAAAAAGGCAACTTGTGAATTACAGATCTCAAAAATGAAAATGCCCAGCAAAATATATTAAAAAATAAAAAAAATCAAAACCCACCATGACTAATGCGAAAACTCTTTTAAGGTCCTGTGTGGATGGTGGCTTTAGCACTAATACTAAGTTAGTGATGAATGCTATTGTATTGCTTTTGCTGTTTCTCTTAGGAAGGGAATGATAAACTGTACACTGTGAACAATGCATTGCAGAACTTCTACGAGTACAGAGACAACTATCTAAACCAAAGAACCTGCTACTCTCAAGCAACATGCAGGAATCCTTATTTTTCAAAGTGATTAAAGATTTTTATTGTTCAAGTCTGGTGATTTGGATAGGGAAGTCACATTTTCATGCCTGCAAGGTCAGAGAGTATTATCTGAAGCCAGATCTGCTCACAAGTAGTAATTGTTTGAATCCAGACTATGTTGTTTCTGCAGGTATCCCAGGAAGTTTCTTGCACAAGACCTCTTGGGCTGCATAGCCTATTACTTTTAAAGGACCTAGATCTGCCTGAATTCTTCCTCACAGACAAGATCAACATTCAAATCACCTAGTGGATTTAATGTTATGGACCTTGGAAAATCAGAATTATGTCAGCATTTGTAGTGGGGTCCTGGAGTCAACTATTCTGAGGCACGTTGCTGCTGATGGAATATGTGAAACTCAAGATTTCAAAGGGTAAATCTGCTATGGAAAGAAGTTACATAAGAGATACACTGTTAGTTTCCTTTTCCCTGTGAGAGGCTTCAGATTTCTTCCTTAGTAAACGGTTAAATAAATTTATCCACATGTCCATTATCATACACTCGACTCAGTAACATGAATCCCTTCACATGTGTTTGGTTATGTTTACTTTGTATCTACTCATAAAGATCCTACAATAAACTGCAGGCTGTACTTTGGGGTTTAATTTAGGATTTTCTCTCCTCTTTGTAGATTTTAAGTGATTTTGGTTTTGTCCTTTGAGGTGGAAAGGTGTCAGAATAAGTATAGGGGAGGGTGATGGATCTGGGGTCATACTGCTCTCCCTGCACTTATTTCACCATGTTTCTCTGCAGCTTTGCTTCTTTGTGCAGAGTCCTTCAGAGTTAGATTCCAGTCCCAAGTGGATCCACTCAA